TCTATCCCGATCCGCTCAAGGTTAGGTGGCCCCCCCTCTTTGCGCTATGCGAGGCGGCGTCGTTGACCCTTGGGTTGGGGAGGGTAGGACTCGGACTATTTGGAACCGGAGAAAAAGATGAGGGCCCGGTCAGATCACTTCCCATTTGGGGTTTGATCCGGTCGGGTGTTTGACCACTACCTGATATGGCAAGGACAAAAAGCTCAATTGTTGCAGGGTGTCCAGTTGGATAATGCCTGGGTAGCGGTCAAGATGGCCGATTCTTTTTAAAGGGGAACGCAAGCTCACTTGACACTAACAAAGGGAGGAGATCTATGTTGACTGCGGACGATTTCGGTCGGACGTGGGACGATGCTAGGTCTCCAAACGGCGGATGTGGACAGTGGGTGCTAAGCCGGACGCGGGCAGAGAGGCTCACCAAACTGCGCGACTACGTACATGCAATCTCACTTGACACTAACAAAGGGAGGAGATCCATGTTGACTGCGGACGATTTCGGTCGGACGTGGGATGATGCTAGGTCTCCAAACGGCGGATGTGGATAGTGGGTGCTAGGCCGGACGCGGGCAGAGAGGTTAGCTAAACTGTGCGATTACGTGCACGCGTTTTTTTGGGAAAGGTGTTGGAGTTCACTTGAGGCCGAGATCGAACGAATAGGTGGTCATCCATCCCATTGCGGAATGCATGATCACCTAGTGAAGCCGGTCAGAGCCTAAGACGGTGCGCTCTCCCATCTTTCTAACGAGGAGGTCTGCTTGCTCAAGATCAGACGAATGGGGTGCTCATTTATTCCGCTTGCGGGATGCATGATCACCACGCTAGTCCGTTCGAGGGCCAGCAGCCTTTCTCAAAGGGTAACGCAATCTCGCTTGACACTGACAAAGGGAGGAGATCCATGTTGACTGCAGACGATTTCGGTCGGACGCGGAACGATGCTAGGTCTCCAAACGGCGGATGTGGATAGCGGGCGCTAGGCCGGACGCGGGCAGAGAGGCTTGCCAAACTGCCCGACTATGGACATGCAATCTCGCTTGACACTAACAAAGGGAGGGGATCCATGCTGACTGCGGACGATTTTGGTCGGACGTGGGACGATGCTAGGTCTCCAAACAGCGGATGTGGATAGTGGATGCTAGGCCGGACGCGGGCAGAGAGGCTTGCCAAACTGCGCGATTACGGACATGCAACGCGTTTCTCTTACAAGGTTGAGGATGCCCGTCTCCTTAGCCACTCGGATATGCGAAAGGCAATGCTTGCTCAAACTGGAAGCCAGTGTGTGGCATGTTCAAGTCCCGTGCCCATAGTCTAATACACGAGCTCCACAAACCTTCAAAGGGGAAGGCGCTAAGATTGAAAGGGGGACAGTTTCTGTCCTCTGGTCATGCCCCTGAGAATCAAAGATGGAGCACAGTAGGGTACCCCGGGCCTAGCTGGCTGATACTGGGACACTGGCAGAACGGAGTAAAGCAAGCGTTGACGAGTACCATATCTGAGCCCGATACGTTAGAAGGGCAGACCAAACTGAGCGAAACGGAAATTGGGGCCTGTATCCCGGCCATCCAGCCTTGTTGCGGAGGTGGTTGATAGGAAGAAGGTAACCAGCCGGAGTAGCAAAGGGAAGTGTGTCCCTCTTTCTGTACGGCCTCGAGAAGGAGGTGCTTGCGTCCTAGGTGGCGGTCTGGGGAACTCCGACTCTCCCGAAAGGAGGGAAAAACGGTGGCCCATGTCCTAACAAAACCACCCGGGGACTTGCATCAAGCTCTCTTGGAACTGTCAAGAAATGAGACTGTGATGGGATGCGGTTGGCAATGTCCCCCCGATCAGGGCAAAGACTCCTCTTGCTCGGCCTTGCCGAGTCGAGGGAGCATTGTGAGGAACAAGCTGTTTGCTAGCGCGTGAGGGGCCACTTTTTAAGCAGCCTACCAGTGGGTAGGAGAGCGGTCGGTGCTACCTACTTTTTCAAGTAGGAGGCGGGCACAATCGTTCAGCGGCAGTGGTCACGAGCCGAACATGGGGGATTGAGTAATTGGGTAGCTCCCTGCTCATGAAACCCGGCTTATTACGACACTGGGTCGGTCGGGAAAAGAGCTCGAAAGTTCGCCACGGTGACGGCGGCGCTCTGGAACCAGCCGATACGCACGCGTTCAGAACCGGTAATCGCCGCAAGGCAGTTGCCAAGTCGGCTTGTACCAAAACCGATGCCAAGAGGACGAGCTTTGTGAAGGCGGGCTTGTCGCAGGACCCGGTGTTCTCGTGCACGTGGGTAATCCGTCGAGCTTTTGAGGTCTAACGATTCACCACATGGGTCCACGCGGGAGGTGGACCGTGACGCCCGAATATTTTGTGTGTGTCGACACTCTTCGGAGGGTTGGCGTGCACTTTGACCCCCAGAGGTAGGGGGCGGGACGTACTTGTGGTGCGGAGGGCCATCTGGGAGGGGGGCTCTGGCTAACATTAAATGCAGAGCCCCAGATGTGTTGGGGAGGGGGGCCGGGAGGGCCCGTGGAAGAGTGGGTAACGGGGGAACTGTTGCCTGACTCCGAAAATGGGCAACGGGAAACCGTTGCAGGTTGGCAAGCGCTGCTACCCCAGACCCTCCGTGGAGGTCGACGGGAACCCTCGTTCACGGGGGCAACCGGAGTCCACCTAGGAGAGTCCGGGGAAGATGGTGTGCCTCTCGGGCCGGAGGCAAACCAGGTCGATTGAGGGACAGCGAAGCCTCGTTTTTAACGGGGCCGAGCGGGGACCTCGGCCTGGAGGGAGGGACGGAACACAGCCGCCTCGTGCGGTTGGCGTTGCCGTCTCGCCGCGGGCGGGCCGCCGCGGCACATGGGAGAAACCGAGGGATGGCTGCCACCTTGGGGCCAATCCACCACACCCAGCTTTGGGTACCCGGGATCGAGGCCCGGAGCCTTCCGCCAGAGGCTCTGGGCCGAAAATGGGAAGAGATGACGGCAGGCGAGCAAGGGACGGGCACGCGGGTGGCACCGCGGGCTCTTCTCGGGTTCGGCTTGCCACGAGCGTCGCGAACGCGGACGAGCCTCGGGTCTTGCAGGGAGATAAAGGGTGAATCCACTCCCCGCATCACTCGGGCGCTCTTCCGTGGACCGGCGTGCGGAGGTGTCGGCGAACCGTGGAATCTGTGTTGCGCATTACGTTAAGCGTCGGGCCTGACCCTCGACGCCCTGCGAGCCGGGTGATTCCGGCCGGGGCGGAGGAGGGGAAAAATAAGGGCTCGACGGTGCGCACGCCTCGCGTAGCGGGCCGCTCCCACATCCGGGTGATTTCCGGCGGGACGGCTCGTGCGAGAAAGGGGAAAAAGGGCAGACGTCGCAGGGGGCTTTCGAGCCTGCTGTGACCGAGGCCCGCGAGGGTGCCGTCAAGGCTCCCGCGCTCCTGATTACCTTGGGGAAGGGCTACCTGGTTGATCCTGCCAGTAGTCATATGCTTGTCTCAAAGATTAAGCCATGCATGTCTAAGTATAAGAGGGCATTTGTTCCCTCGAAACTGCGAATGGCTCAATAAATCAGTTATTGTTTATTTGATGGTGCCCAATTACTCGGATAACCGTAGTAATTCTAGAGCTAATACGTGCAAAATGTCCCGACCTCACGGAAGGGACGCATTTATTAGAGCAAAGGCCAATGCCGGGCTTGCCCGGTCCATTTGGTGAAACATGGTAACTCCGCAGATCGCACGGCCTTGTGCCGGCGACGCATCATTCAAATTTCTGCCCTATCAACTTTCGATGGTAGTGTAACTTAAATACCAAAGTCATTAGCTAAAATGGTCAACGGGTCAACCCTCGGGGTTTCTAAGAGGATAATTGGCTCGGATTTGAGTATGAGCTCCATCGGGGTTGTCTAGACATGCTAGGCCAATTGGGGTATGCCCCTTTGGTAAAATCTTTGGTGCACGAGTGCCCTAGCTAGGGTAAGAGGTCCGGTAGCCTATGGCTAATCACCTCGGGTCAATCCCTTGGAACGAACCTCGGCGGGAAAGCGCCTTGGCTAGGTTAAATGATTCGGTAGCAAACCGCCTTGGGCTCGTCCCTTGGCGCGAATCTTGGTGGGCGAATGCGTTGGATCTAGTCGGCAGCATATCTATAAGCTGCCTAGATACCTCGATCGGGGTATCTTGACCGTATAGGGACCCGACCTGGGCTCGATCCATGGTCTCGGATATTGGGTGAGATGCATTGAACCTAGGCGGCAGCATATTTCTATAAGCCGCGAAACCACAGCTAAGGTGAATCAGTCCAGTAGCAAATCGCCTTGGGTTCATCCCTTGGCGCGGACCTTGGTGACATCGGATCCGGATGGCAACATTCGATCCGATGAAGACCCGCCTCGGGACCTTCCCCTGGTACGGATGTCGGAGTAAGGTACAACGGATCTAGATGGCAGCATAATCAATCCGATAGCGGCTCGCCCTGGTACGCACCTCGGTAAGCAATGCATTGGATTGGGTCGGCAGCATTCCCTCTAAATCACCAAAATAACCCAAGGAGGGGTTATGAGGAAAGTTCTAGGGGAGTTTCGTCGGATAGGACCTCTAGGAATGTTGCATTGGAGTGGTGTGGGAAATGCCCTCCCACTATATAAACCTAGGGGGAAGCTTGTGTAGGCATAATCGATTAAGGAGATTACTCATGCCCAACCTATTGCTACCAAGCTACTATTGTGGATCGCTCTGAGCCTTCGTACACTACTCAGAGGTGCTGCCGGCGGCCTTGTACTAAGGAGGTGTTCGCTCTAAGGAAGGAATAGCCCGAGGAGTAGGGCTGGAGCTCGATTTAGAGGACCCCGACCTAGTGAAGAGGCGCTGTTGGTACCATTCGGGTGGTCTAGAACGGTCATAGCTACCCGGCGGTTGCAAGCTAAAGGTCAGAAAATTTTGAAAGTTCCTAATTTTGTGGTGGCCCATACAGGTCCTCCTCTCCCTTTGGCTGAGAAAACGAACCCGTCCCTTTTCCGAGCATGTCGAGTATAGCTGCAGCTATGGGGCAGTTGCCGCGTTTTGATGGACGTTCACCGGACCCTAAGGTGTGGATTAGTCAGGCCACGCGTGCATTACGGTGCTTCCTAGCCTCCATACCCGAGGAGCAGCAGTTAGATTACCTACTGATGCACCTGACGGACTCCGCCTACGTGTGGGCGGAGAGCAAGGATTTTCAGTCTGTAGCGGGCTTTGATAAGGCTTTTAAGGAGCGCTTTATTTGGGAATCAACCGCTAATGTCATGCAGAGGCTGTCGGCTTTGAAGCAGAAACCGGGGCAGACGGTGACGGAGTTGGCGGACGAAGTGAGGCAGCTGGCGGCCTACGTTCCCAACTACCCTACGGCCATGGCGGTGAGACACTTTATTGAGGGGTTGGGGGACAAAGGCTTGAGGGAGAGGGTGCTGGGAGGAAGGCCAATCTCCCTGGAGGCGGCTGAAGAAGCTGCCAAGTACTTTGTGTCCTATTCGTTACCCATGGGGATAGAGCCGGTGGTGGAAGCTGCTAAAGAGAAGGACCCGGTGAATAAGGAGTCAGAGGTGGATAAAATCACCAAGCAGCTGGAGAAGCTGAGTATCCAGTTAGCCCAGATGCAGCAAGGAAGGGGAGGCGGCTTACTCCCTAGGCCGGCAGGAGGCGGATTTAAATGTTACCAGTGCGGAAAGGAGGGGCATATGGCTCGGGACTGCACCCAAAAGGGACGGGCGGCGCTGAACGTCATGCAGCAGGTCCTAGAAGGAAAAGCCCCGACTATAGCGGAATTTCTTAACGGGGAAGAGGGAAAGCTGGATATGCTGGTCGGACCTCGGAAAAGGCAGGCGGTCCGGGACCCGGAAGGATGGGGAATAGACGAGGCGAGGGAGGAGTTGAGGAAGAAGCTGGCTGAGACGGGCGGGGCTGAGGAAGCAGCTAAGGGATCCCGGTTTGTACGGAGGCCACGGGTATCCGCCCTACCCAACTCATATAATGTGGTGGACCAGCTGAAACTCACCCCCGTGAGCGCCAGCGTCTGGAATTACATAAGCGACAGTGACAAGGTGAGAAAAGAGTTGTTGGATGCTCTGAAGCTGGCTGAGGATAAGGGGAAGGAGGACGGGGCAGCCGCCATGCAAGGGGTTTCGATAGTGGCAGCTGCTCCACGGGAGTCTAGGCATGAGGACCCGATCCCCAGCAATCTAGTCTTCCAAGTCCCCCAGTGCGATGTCCACCTAGGCAAGCACCGTCTGACCGCAATAGTTGATTCCGGTGCGTCCCAAACGGCCCTTTCGCACGTCATCGCTAGGAAGTTAGGGCTCCTACCCTACCTCCAGGACACCACGATAGAGTATACCACCTCTAGTGGGGAGACGTCGAAGCCATGGGGGATTTTGCCTGACGTGCCGGTGCGGGTGGGGAAGCTGACCCTCCCAATCGATATAGCGGTGACCGGGGCAAATACCTATGACATGCTGCTAGGACAGGACTGGATCTATTCGGCTAATGCAGATATCCTGACCAGCAAAGGACAGATAGTGTACCGGGTCAATACCAAAGAGACAGACTCGGTCCCTATCACCACTGGACCCGTGGGCATGGGTAGCCGTCCCTCCTATGTGTCCCTCCCGCCCCAAACACCCCGCAGGAATGATCCCAACCCCCCTCAGCATTGGTCCGGGATGAATGAGGAGGAGTTCCAGCGGTGGCTAGAGGAGAAGCAGCTCCTCCTAGCCAAAGAGCAAGGGCGCATCCGGTTAACGGAGGAGGAGGAGGCGGATTACTGGGCATGGGTCCAGGAGGAAGCGGAGTTGGATCGGGCGGAGTTGGACGTCCTAGAACTCAAGGAGCATGAGTTCTATGAGGAGCTCGGGGCAGACGGGCTCAATGGCATACCCGAGGGAGTTGAGCCAGAAGGAGAAGTCGGGACGGATGACGAGATGCCTAATCTCTTTGGGTCGGATGGGGAACGTTACTCTGACCTTGGGGCGTCGGATGATGAGGCTGGGGAACCACAATGGGACATGGGGTATGAGGAGGCACGGAAGGCTGTGGAGGAAAAAGGGGAAATCACGGACCTATGGGAAGGGGATTCGATGACGGACGGGGAAGAGTACCTGGTGGAGGACAAGGAGGAAGGGGAGCTGATTTATGAGGGGAAGGGGCACCGGATCAGTCCGGACTACCTATTCGAGCTATTCAATTACCCGGCAGCTGAGCGGTGGCAATACTTGGCAGCTGAAAAAGGGGATGAAGGTCGGATAGTTCTTGGTAGTTATTACAGCCTCAAAAAGGAGGCCCCTCGAGTTGCCTGCCCTGCCTTTGAGGACCTACCGGTATCACTCAACCATGAATTAGGGATGGCCCAACAGACGGACCTGAGGAAGCTGCTGGTAGAGTATCGGGAGGTCTTTGCCACAGAAGCCGAACCGTTAGGCACCCACCCCACCGTCCTTCATCACATTGCCACTGGGTCAGCCAAGCCCATATCCCACAAACCATACCGGGTATCCCCATCGGAACGGGCTCGGATAGAAGAGGAGGTAGCGGCCCTCTTAGAACAAGGCGTGATCCGACCCTCCAACAGCCCCTGGGCCTCCCCGTGTATCGTCATCCCGAAAAAGGACTTCGGTGATCGGGTGGTGATCGATTACCGACCCCTCAGTGCGGTGACAGAAGCAGCGGACCAGTTTCCCATGCCAAGGATAGATGATATCCTCGACCGGATGACGGGGTCGCTGTATTTCTCAGTCCTCGACGTCAAATCGGCCTATCATACCATCAGAGTGGCCGAAGAGGACATCCCTAAGACCGCTTTTGTTACCTCCTCGGGTCAATATGAGTATGTCCGGATGCCTTTTGGATTGAAAAATGCCCCTGCCACATTCCAACGCCTCATGACCACCGTTTTTCGCACCCATCCTAACGCCATTCCCTATCTCGATGACATTATAGTCTTTTCCAACAGTTGGGAGGAGCATCTGGAGCACCTACGGGATGTCTTCGAAAGGGTGAAGGCCAACCACCTACTCCTCAAACCCAACAAGTGCGAGCTGGGGTTCTACTCCACGATCTACTTGGGGCACATCGTGACAAGGGATGGGGTGAAGCCGGATGCGGGAAAGGTGGAGGCGATTAGTAAGATGGCGGCACCAAGGGATGTGAGAGGGGTCCGGGAGTTCCTGGGGTGCACCAGTTACTACCGGCGGTTCATGAAGGGGTATGCGAAGGTGGCCCATTCCCTCACACAGCTGCTGCACAAGGACCACCCATTTGAGTGGACGGACAAATGTGAGAGGGCATTCAATGCCCTCAAACTGGCTCTAATCTCCCCTCCCATTCTCGCTTTCCCAGACTTTTCTAAACCCTTTATCCTCCAGACGGATTTCTCTGCTACGGCCTTGGGGGCCATCCTAGCTCAAAAGGATGAGAAGGGGGCGGAGCGAGTGGTGGCGTACGCTAGCCGTACGACAAGAGGGGCGGAGAGGAACCTGTCGTCCACCCACGGGGAGTGCTTGGCAGTGGTGTGGGCTATCAAACACTTCCGACCCTACCTCTATGGGAGCCGGTTCCTGCTGCAGACCGACCACCAGGCCCTCCAGTGGCTAATGACGGCCAAGGACCTAACAGGAAAGTTGGCCAGGTGGAGTCTACTCCTGCAGGAGTACGACTTCACCGTCTCCTATCGGCCTGGGGAGACACACCGGAATGTGGATGCACTTAGCCGCATGCACCAGGGGCTGCATCAACAGTCCGGGGGGGAGGCACTCTCATATGCACACTCACCTCCCCTGTCCCCCACCTCAAACCCCATCCCCATGTTCACAAACCTGTTCCCACGGTCACCCCCACCACCACCACCAGCTGGGGAAGAAAGCAGCAGCTCGGTTGATGGGGAAGGGGACGGAGGGGATAGTGGTGAAGAGGAAGGAGACGAGGTGGACGGCCGTGAGCCAGAGGAACTGAGTAGCAATACGGAAAAACGGGATGGGGAAGAAGAAGGAGAGGTCGGACGAGCCGGATCCGAAGAAGCCGATAATGAGGATGAAGGGTCGGGAGAAGAGGACGATGAAACAGACGGATCCGGAGATGGGGATGGTGAGGACGGGGAGGAGGAGGAAGAAGAGGAGGAAGAGGAGGAGGCAACCGAAGGGGACAAGGAGATGGTGGCTCCAGGGGTAGGAGGACAGGAAAATGACCATGAAGGGTCGGAAGAGAGGAGGTTATCACCGCCAATGACACAACCTCTCAAAAAGGTCAGACGTGATAAGGGGAAATTGAAGGAGGAAGCCGGGACCTCAAAGGGGGATGAAAAAGAGGCCGGGGGAGGTGGACCCCCACACGGATCTCATGAGGGAGAGCAGCCGGATAGAAGTCTCGCATCCGAGACGAGCACGCTAGATATTTGGGATGACCTCAACACCCTGTTCTACCTGGAGTGCGGGGAGGTTGATCCGGCGTGGGATACGGCTGAGAAACGGAGGGTGCGGGCCCGGGGAAAGAAGTTCGAACTACGGGATGGGGTGCTCTGGAACCTGAAGGCAAAGGGGGATAAAAAGCCGGTCCCTAGGAAGGAAGAGAGAGGGGAGATCATTAGCCTCCTCCACGGGCTGGGGCACCTTGGGGTCCAACGCACCACAGACCTGGTTCGGAAGCAGTACGACTGGTATGGCATGGGGAGTGACGTATCAGCCTTTGTACGAGGGTGCCCTACCTGCACTTTCCAGAGGGGATCCTGGACGGCAAAAGGGGAATTGCGGCCGGTCCCAGTAACAAAGCCATGGGACAGAGTGGTGATCGACTTCGTCGGCCCACTACCGGTGACGGAAAAAGGGGGGAACCGATACATAATATCGGCCATGGACCACTTCACCAAGTGGCCTGAGTGCAAGGCGGTGAGGCATGCGGACTCAGCAACGGCAGCCGCGTTTGTAGCTGAGAAGATCATCTCCACACACGGCTGCCCGTTGGTGATCCACACGGACAATGGGCAACATTTTCATGGGGAGTTCGGGGTGCTGTTGGAAAAATTCGGGATTTATCATGAATTCTCTCGCCCCAATCATCCTCAGAGCTCGGGGCTTATTGAGAGATTCCAGAGGACGCTAAAGGGGGCGTTGGTGAGGTTGGGGGAGACCAACCCATTCGAATGGGATGAAAACATCTGCTGGGTCCTGCTGGGGTACCGGGCCTCCATTCATTCCTCCACCAAATTCTCCCCCTTTTTCTTACTCTATGGCCGCCACCCCAACATCACGGGTAGCACCTTGACGGAATGGGAGGTAAAGGAGCTGACCGAGCTATCCACCGAGGAGGAAGCCGATGCAGCAGCTGGACTTATCTATGAGAGGTCCTCGGAGATGGAGCTGGCTCTGGCAAAGGCAGCTGAGAACCATGATAAGGCACAGGAGAAGCAGAAGGTCGACTTTGACCGACGTCGAACCCTCCTGGAGCCGATCAGGGTAGGAGATTTTATCCGGATCAAACCGACCAAGAGGGTGGCTTGGGCAGACCAGGACCGGAAGTACAAGACCCTCTTTAGGGTCAAAGAGGTGGAGGCATTTCATGTGACCTTGGAGGCAAAAGGGGGGATGGTATGGCGGGAATCCAGGGAGAACGTGAAGGTGGTGCAGGTCACCTTGTGA